AAAATGTTAAGTCTTGGGGCAGAGGGAAAAAGAAAGTGGCACATCATGACTGGCTCTTGAAAATTCCACCTAAAAATGACATGTGACTTTTGCTCCTATTCCTTTGGCTGAAGCAAATCATATGAGCAGCCCCAATTCAAAGTGACTGCAGAAGGGCATTCCCCTCAACTAAAAGGAAAATTTGTGTGAGAAAAACAGTAACTTCATCAAATTTCAGTGGACACATATTCATTTTAAATTCCTAAAATGCATCAGCTTCTAACAAACCTAGCTACGTTTGCCAATGAAACAACTTGGCTTTATCAAAATAATTGCAAAATGAAACAGTATCACCTTTGTCACAGAAAGTCAATTTGGGTGTTTGCACTTTGGATTGTCCTGTGTGCACAGAACATCTCAAAAAGATTTGAAAAGATTTGTTTAGACAATAAAGTGGGAACAAGAATATACAGTTGACCCTTCATATGCTTAGGTTCTGCATCTGCAGATTCAACCAACTGCTGATCAAAAATATTAAAAATAAATTGTGTCTGTATGAATATGTGCAGACTTTTTTCTTGTCATTATTCCCTAAACAATACAGTTGATGATAAACTCTTTATGTAGTGCTTACATTTTCTAGTACTATAAGTATACAGGAGAATACACATAGATTATATGCAAATGCTATACCATTTTCCATAAGGAACTTGAGCATCTAAGAATTTGGGTATCTGTGGGGGTTCTGGAACCAATTCCTTATGAATACTTAGAGATGACTATATTCAACTTCATATCTTAAGGACTTATCCCAACTCCATTTCTCCTTTAAAAAGAAAAATATTTTACTCACTATTAAGGGGGAGCATTTCTTAAAATTTAATTTTTTTCTTCCTGTGAGGTGTAGTGGTGCATGCTTATAATCCCAATGACTCAGGAAGCTGAGGCAAGAGAATCACAAGTTCAAGGCCAGCCTGGGCAATTTAGTGAGCCCTTCTCTCAAAATAAAAAATAGGAAGGATATGAGATGATATGAGATGTGTGGAATGTAGCTCAGTGATAGGATGCCTCTGGGATCAATCCCCAGTACTACAAAATAACTGGAGGGGGACGCCTCTGGGGCTGTAGCTCAGTGGTAGACCACTTGTCTAGCATGTGTAAGACACTAGGTTTGATCCTTAGCACCATATAAAAATAAATAAATAAAATAAATGCATGCTGGTCATCCTCTACCAAAAAAAAAAAAATCTTTTTTTTTCTCTCCTGCAACACTCAGGATTTGTTGACAATTTGAGGGTTCTGATTCTAGAACTACACTGAAAACATTTGGAATATACTAAAAAGAAAGGTCCTTTTTCTGCTTTGGCCTCATGCTCTTGGAGAGACCCCGAAAGAGAGTTGACAGTGTTCAGAATGGCCCTGGCCCTAGTTCCAGCCTAGAAAGAACTAGATAGTTCTCAGTCATCTACCTCCTCCTTCCACCTCTTATACCTCTTCCTGCCCCTACCTAATAGTAATGAGAACAGCAACTTCACCACCAGTTACAGATTCACAAACAGATGTGGAATGACACAGGTAATGATTTCACATGATGGTTGATGGCATTTGCCAACATAAAAATTATTACCCCTTTTGCTATAAATTCTTCTATAAATTTTATAAACTATGCAAAAACTGACATTTCAAGAACTGAGGCGATTTAGATTTATTAAAAAGTTGAGCCCCTGGAGATTCAACAAAAGAGAGTACTTTATATTTCTTTATTTAGTTTTTAGTTGCATGGGTCTTACTTTTGTTTTCCAGCTCCTGGTTTATAATTCATAGGTTGAAACTAGGCATGACTGAGCTTTGACCACTTAATCCAGCTTTACTACAGATGTCTCCTGGGTCTTGGGCAGCAGATAAAACTTCTCTGAATTCCAAATTTCTTTATCAGAGCATGTGGGATTCATGGCCACTCTCTAAAAGTTGACAGAAAACAATTTCATATCTAGAAAGCACTCTAAAATGCATCTCAGACATAAACTGGTGCCACTGTCTCTAGAGAGGATGGGTCCCAGGGAGACTTCTGTCACTACTCTGTCCTCTCTTTGTCTCTTCCTCACGTGCCCCTCTCTATTCAGCACCACACTCTGGTGTGGCCACCATGGCTATGCTGCCTTGGCTCTCTCCCAACAGAACCTTCATTACAATGTACCTCTCACCTGAGACCGTCAGAAAGGATCTTTCCTGAAGCAGCTGCTCTTGCCTGTCATGTGCAGAAACACCATGGTCACAGTTGGAATAAACCAAGTACATTTACCAGCCCCTGTGGAAACATGGCATGGTTGTGTGTGTATACGCTGCGAATGAGTTCATCACATGTCCCTTTGAAAGGAATGGCATGGCAGGTTACTTCTGCCTTTGTCCTCAGAACTAGAAATCATGAAGAATTAAAGTGGAAATCATCATCAGAAATCAGGCTGTTTTCTAGCTTGTCTGTCTCCCTCTCACTGACTCAACTCTCCCACCCCTGCTCTTAAAGTTTGAAGACTAGTTTAGATTATAAATCTCAGCTTCACTGGGGCAAAACCTGACCTTAGCATTCCTTGCACACCAGTTGTCCCCGGTGTAATTAACGCTGCCCTGCATGTTTAGGCAATTATCATTGCACCGCATGGTGGGGTGCTGTACTCCCGCCTCCGCTGGGGCAGGAGTCAGTGTTTGGCTCCACGGCTCTTGCAAATCTTGTGTCTTCACCCAGCTGGAGGTGCCCTTGTGGTGGTCTCTCCTATACACTGTTTTCTGAAAACAGTAGTGATTTCTCATGATGTCTGAATTACCCTCCCTTCTACAGTTATAGGCAATTCCTTCCTGACTAGGTCAGGGTCTCCAGGACCCTGGCCCTAAAACATATTTCACTTCTCTGGGAAGTTTCATTTGTCCTCAGCTATTGCAAACACGATCTTGCTGAACAGAACTGAATTTTGAACGCTGTTTGTGGTGGGGATTCTGATGGCTTCACGTTAGTTCAAGTCTCTGAGGACCAGTGCCAATAAATGTGAAAGGGACAACAGTAGATTGGCATACTTTTCCATTTCCACCAGGATGAAAAAACTGCTATAAATTAAGTCTAACCTTAAATGTATAATCTGTCCTTGGGAGGAAAAAAAAAAAAGGATATAGCATCTTCAAGCTCTCGGCATCCCTTACGAGAAAAAATTGGTTCTAAGGGTCTCTGATCTTGTGTTTTAGTAAAATAGAACTGCACGGCTGACTGACAGTTCTGATCTAAAGCATTTACGTTTAAGTTTTGATCTCTCTGCTTTTGATTAAAACTAATGAGCTCATTTAATTCAAAATGGGAATCTCTGATAAGAGAAATAAGGTTGATGTGATTGGATTAGAGGGGCAAATTAAACTCTTAGAGCAGAAGTTTGTGCTTATATAGTGTATTAAAAAGCTGTTGGCGTATTATGGCGTGTTAGATGATGAGAAAAATTTCATAGTAATTCATATTTAATCAGAAGAAATGAAAGTACTAAATATAACATGGCTCTGCTTTTCCCTCGAGTGATAAAAAGCTGTACATTTAAAATGACATCAGATCCATGCTCTCTAAAACAAAAAAAAAAAAAGAAAAGAAAAGAAAGAAAGAAAATCTTGAGACACATAAGAAAGGGATGCTCGTCAATGGTACCATCGCCCCAGAATAGAAATGCCACAAATGTAGGAATATAGAGTCTTATTAAGAATGATACAAGAAAAGCCCCAGACCACAAATAGCAAGGTTTCTGTTATTAGAGTAGCTCTCATTTCTTCATCTGAGCATCAAGTTTAATATGACAAATAGACATTATGTACTCTTAGAAATACATGAATTACATTTCATAATCTAAAATTTAAAAGCTTGTTTTACCATTTTTATCTATTTTAGTAGCCATTTTTACATATACTTAGTTCTTAAATCTCTTAATTAACTGTATTTCTTTACCTCCATTCCAGAGAAAATTAGTGTAAGCTTAGGGCTACTTAAAAAAACCTTCATTGTTGTTCTACATCATTTTTTCCTTTTGAATAAGAAAAACTTTAATATTTAAGAAGAGTAGAATTTGAGTATTTTTTTAGGCTTTAACGCCCCCCCACCCCCCCGCAATTATTTTATTTGCAGGAAGAGACCTAAATTCATAAAATACCTTAGAAGCTTATTTTTAAGAAAACAAACTTATGCTGCCTTCTGATCCTTTTGCATGAAGGTGTGCTTAGATCAGCAAGATTTTAAGCTACCACTTTTAAGTTTCATAAGTCTACAAATTTTCTACTTACTCTAAAAACATATGAAAGGAACAATTAGGTATTTTGTTTAAGAGAAGAAACCTATTTTCTCATATCAGAAGCAGAGAAGTGAAAAAAGAGACCCCTGCCTATATGGGTAAGGGCCAGGGGCAAGATGCCATTGTGACAGGAATGAGAAATTGATATCGTGAGTAGTTTTTATTTCTGTCCTCGGTACATCCCATTCTCATCCCTCTGTCTGGAGTCAGTTGAGAAGAACTTGGGTTTCTTGTCCCCACAATGAAGAAAACCAACTCAGGAGGACAAGGACATTGGTCAGGATGTGGCTCTCCAATCTGGGAGGCTTTGTGGTTCTGACCCCTCATCAGAAGCATCTCTTGGTTGACCCCATAAATCTACAGGGCCCTTCTTTTTCCTGGCAGTCCTCTCTGCACAGGACTCAACTGAGTCTCAAAGTGAGCTACAATTACTTACCATTGGAACCCACTTAAGGAGCTGCTGCAAGTTAAAAGACTTGAAAAAAATCTCTAGCTAGAGACAGGAAAGAAGCTACTTTAGACACATTAATTTTTCTTTTTTATTTTCTGCAAAGTAAACATTCTCTAAATGAGGTAAATTGATTACTACACTCTTAGCACCCATCAGTCATTTATTTTTAGTGAACTCAAGGATTGCACCTGAGCAGTAGCTGTGAAGGGCTGTGGAGAGCTCTAAATCACGTGTGTATGTATTTTTGTATTCCTCAGTGGAGTCCACCAGCCCCAGCCTGCTAACCACTGACAACACCCTTGAGCGTTCCTTTTTCATCCGAATGAAATCTACTCTGACCAAACGTGGCGTGCACATCAAATCGTCAGGATATAAGGTAAGCTGGGTTTGGAGAGGGGAGACATTTCTGTTTGAGACCAATCTGAGCTAATTTGCATTGAGTTTTCCAGATGCCTTGGGTCTGTATAATTAACACATGTGACCTTGACCAGCCCATAGGGTTCCTAGTCATCTTTCCTGTCTCAGAGTAGGGCTTCTTTATACCTCCTTATCACTTTATACCTCCTTATCACTTCAGACATTGCTGATGCACTACATGCCCCAGGGTCGTGTCTTTTCTTAAAACGCTGGTTAATAACACGCCAAGTGCTTCAGCACCTGCAAGAAATTCACTTTGATGGAGAAGGTGACCCAAATTCATATCAGTCCTTAAAAGGAGTATTCTAGAACTGTTGCTTATGAAAGTTCTACTTCTCTCACTTTCCCCTTCTAATTCTCCCTTTCTCGTTAGGGAAAGACTGTTCAGCTTAGGAGCATCTTGGCTGCTGATATCTGTACACATAGATAGGAAAATCAGGTTGGGTGTTAGAAACTTTCATTCTGAAATTACAGTAATTGAACAGCAGTCATACGTTAGCATACACGGAATACACAACATACAGAGTATATGTTCCTCACAAGCAGAGACCAAGTCTGGAGTCATAATCTACATTATTATCATTTTAAGGTTAAAGATATAAAAGCCCTCTAATCTCAAGGAATTCCAACATTCCAGTTACTATAGCAACATAAATTAAGACCTATGAAATGCCTTTGGCAACCTGAATCTTATCAATTTTACAGCACACCAACCAATCTCAAGCAATATTTATTGTCTGTAGGATAGCAAACAGAAACAGAATGTATCATTGATGTGGCCAGCATGACCTTTCCCAGTTTGGGACTTTAGAACTCCTGATAACTCAGTTCTTTAGGGTGACCATAGCATTGTCAAGGGTAAAAACAGCTGTTAACATCAGGCATTGAAACATTCATATAAGTCATCAGGAAACTAGCAGCTGTATAAAGTCAGAGTCAGGCACTTTCTTTGACATTAATTCTTCAGAAAAAAAAAGGGGAAAAAAAAGAAAGAAAGAAAGAAGGTGGGAAAGCGGGCCCTTCCAAGGACGACCTTTAGCTGAGCTGTCCTACAGTCTGAAAGGCACATGTGGTGCAACCTTGACCTTTCCAGGGTGTGAAGCAAAGAGGCATCCAGGGCAGTTCCACCTGCGCCTGCCGCCTGCTGCAGTTCACCCTATGGAGGCTAGTTGCAGAGCAATGTATGGGGGAAAGAAAACAGACCTCATCCTTAGGACCACTTTATATTTCCCTGCCTTGCTGAACACTATGCATTTATTAGTTGTTAACTGTGTAGCATTAGCCAGTTTAGGATTCTATAAACAGACTACAGATGTGGAGATTATTGTTACTTTTATGCTAGAATGAGGCATTCTTTGCATCCCAGATTTTAGGAGCCATATATTTTCTTTCAACTCTTACTTTTCTGTCTCTCAGCATTGTTTCTTCACCTTTTCTGGGTTTTACTGGTTTGTGGGGGTATATCATAGGAGGAGCAGGTTTTAAAATGCAATAGTTAGTATAATTCAATATCATTCGATAATGTAATTTTTAAAATTCTGTTTATACTACAAGCTAGAAATCGCAAAGCTCTTCAGAATTTTTGGTCTGCAAGAGTAGAACTGGTCAGGTGCAGAGGCACATATCTGTAATTTCAGGGTCTCAAGAGGCTAAGGCAGGAGGATCTCGAGTTCAAAGCCAGCCTGAGCAACTTAGCAAGGCCCTAAACAAATTATTGAGACCCTGTCTCTAAATAAAATATAGAACAGGGCTGGAGTTTTGGCTCAGTGTTAAATACCCTGGGTTCAATCATTGGTACCCCCCCCCGAAAAAAAGGCTATGTGGATAAAGAAGTAATATGAAGAAACAGTTTGGGTCTATGAAAGAGACCAAGTATTTTGTGTTTGATTTGCCATATGGGCATCTCAGCAAAGTTGATTTTGCTGCTAGACCTGATCAGACAAATGAAGATCTTAGAGACTGATACTTCATTCATTCAGCAAAGATTCATTTAATTCCCACTATGGGACTTGTTCCAGATCCTAAAAATCCAGCATTGAAGAATAATGTTTTTGCTTTCATAAAAATAGTTTTCCTCTTACAAAGCCCACCATTATGTACACCTATAATGCATCAATAAAAATATGGAAAAATGTTTCCCCCTTACATTCTATTGGGGGAGATGGACTATAATAAATCAATTAATAAAGAAGGTGATCTCAAAGAATAATGAATGCCAAAGTAACAACAGGTGAGCTCTAGGGCCTGACAATATGTTGGGCATGATATAGTTTACAGATACTAAGCATCACAACAGTCCTAGAGGAAAATGCTTTTATTGGTTCCACTTCACAGAATAAGAAACTAATGCTAGAGAGGACGATTAGCATATTTATGCTAGAACGAGGCATTCTTTGCATCCCAGATTTTAGGAGCCACATTAAAGAAGACAGATTAAAGAAGACAGAACTTGAATTTGGGGAGTCTCAATCCACACCCCATGTACTTAACAACTAGGCTACACTACTATGTGGAGTGAAGTCAGGTAAAGTGAAGGAGTGGCTGGTAGGGGCCAGAGAGAGACCACTTTAGATAGGAGGGTCACAGAAGGCCTCTCTACACAGCTAACATATCACCTATGAGTAGTGAGTAAGAAGGGAAGAAACAAATGGCATAAAAATGTTTCTGAAGCAATTTCAGTTTAGGATTAAAGATATCTTGCTATAAAGGTGGCCTTAAAGAAATAAAATATTAAAATGCACAACCTTGAACAAACAGTATTGGAAAAGATTTGGGAGCTATTGCAGAACCCATCAAATCATATAATGTTAAAGTACCCATACTCCTCTACCATACCCTATTCAAAAGTCTTTCCCAAGATACCATGAAAGCCCCCACCTAGTGCCTTATTCCCCTCCCCAGAATGGCTGCCTACAAGAATTGATTCATCCACTGTCCCCCAATAAGATGAATCACCCAACAGATATGACTTGTCCCCTCCTCCTTCTCAGTGAACGAACATCTCTCATTAATTAACCTTGTCTGAAATTTGGTAGAAAAACTGATGAGAACCCATGACATACACAACTGAATAACATCCCTACTTATCTGTTCATTCTCAGTAAGTAAATCTAGCAGCTTATAAAACATTCCAATAAAACTGGTAATCATCCCGCCACCACACAATAAACACAAATAAAAGGAAACAGTGAAGATAATTTCTGTGTCCCAATATTCACCCTAATTTATTACTATTGTGTGCATCTCTCTTTTTCCCTTAAAGATCCAAGATGGTAAGCCTAGCTCAGTGCAAGTCACTATACTTCTCTCCATTTTCTCCCGTGATTTTGGTACATGAACCTTTAGAAAGTTCTTCATCATTTTATCTGTTGCTGTTACCACTGACAGTAATTACAGAAACAAAAATACCACTTACTGAGCATTGACCCTGTGTCAGGTACTGTGCCAACCATTTTATATTTATTTTTTTAATCCACAGAACATTATTATTTGAAAGCCTCCTTTATGCATTGTTTTTCTCATTTTCCATCTAGTGAAACTGAGGCCTTAATAGACAAAATGCTTTCCCATGGTCATAACTCTTAGGTAGCTAGTGAGGAGTCAAAATCGAATTCATGCAATATTGATTGATTGATTTTTTGCAATACTGGGGATTGAACCCAATGGCACTACCACTGAGCTTCACCTCCAGCTCTTTTTGTTTTTATTTTGACACAGGTTGATAAGTTGCTGAGGCTATCCTCCAACTTGCAATCCTCCTGCCTCAACTACCTAAGTTGCTGGGATGACAATCATGAGCCGTAGTGCCAAGATTGAATCCATGCCATTAGATTCTAGCATTTTAACCCCTCTCTTCACTGCTTAATTAAGTCCAAAGATGAGCTCAGGATGAGATGGACATCAGTATTTGAAAAATTATTGAATTTAAATTTTTAAAAGAAAAACTTCTTGCCTGATTAAAACCTTCCCCTTGTGGCTCACTAAATCCCATTGCACTGATATAGCCACACTTGTTGATTACAACGCCCCCCAAGGATTTACCTTCCTTCCTGGGACTCATACCTGTTCCCACAAAGGCTGAACATCCCTAAGCTGGAAATCTGAAATGCTCCAAAGTCTGAAACTTTTTAACACTATCATAATGCTACAAGTAGAAAATTCCACACCTGACCCCATGTGACAGGTTGTAGTCAAAACACAAATGCACTAAAAATATCATATATAACTGCCTTCAGGCTGTGTGTATAAGGTGTCTAAGAAATATAAATGAATTTCATGTTTAAACTCGGTTCCCATCTCCAAGATATCTCCTTATGGATATAAAAATATTCCAAAATCTGGGGGCAGAAGGACTGTAATTTGAAACACTTCTGGTCCCAAGCACTTCAGATAAGGGATACTCAACCTGTACCACGTAACTAAGACTCTTAGCCAGAGAAATGCCAGTCTCCATCTACTACAGAGTGTCAACTGTTGAGGCTTAGTTTGCTACACCCCAGTCCTCAGGAAAGTTGCCCTCTCTAATGAAGTTTCCTAACTATGAGCTGACATAGGGTTGTTTCTGTCCTCATTTGCTTTGAAATCCAGGGTAGCATGTTATCTGGTCCAGCCACTGCTTATGCCTTAGGGGCTTCCCTGTTGTTTGGGTCTCATTGTTGGGTACATATCTTAGCCTAACACAGCTCCCATTTAAATTGCCTCCCATCCCTATTCTGCCTTCCTGATTAGGTCTATGGCTGGGGGAACTCACTAGGTGTAGCACATGGGGTACAAGGAGATACGCAATCAGGGAAATTATAGAAGCGGAGACTAATTGGGTCGCCTCCTTAGCTCCTGTCTTTGGAGGATAGTTTCCTTTGGTGTGGGACTTGCAGTTTCCTAATCTACTCTTAAATGCCCACCAGCAGCACTGTCATTTCTGAAATATTTATCCCCACACATTCTAATGTCCTAACTCTG